CCGGCCTGGCTGGAAGGTGCAGTGTGTGTATCTGGGACCGGCTCTAAAGAGCAGTGTGTGTGTATCAGGGACCGGCTGGATGGTACAGTATGTGTATTAGGGAATGGCTGGAAGGTGCAGTGTGTGTGTCAGGGACCGGCTGGAAGGTGCAATGTGTGTTAGGGACTGGTTAGAAAGTACAGTGTTGTGTGTGTGTGTTAGGGAGTGGCTGGAAGGTACAGTGTGTGTGTGTGTGTGTCTGTGTGTGTGTCAGAGACTGGCTGGAAGGTGGTGTGTGTGTGTGTGCATGTTAGGGACTAGCTGGAAGGTACTGCAGTGTGTGTGTCAGGGACTGGCTGGAAGGTGCAGTGTTTTGTGTGTGTGTGTGTGTGTGCGTGCGTGTTAGGGACTAGCTGGAAGGTACTGCAGTGTGTGTGTCAGGGACTGGCTGGAAGTTGCAGTGTGTGTTAGGGTCTGGCTGGAAGGTACAGTGTTGTGCGTGTGTGTTAGGGACTGGCTGGAAGGTGTAGTGTGTGTGTCAGGGATTGGCTGGCATGTGCAATGTTGTGTGTGTGTGTGTGTGTGTGTGTTGGGGACTAGCTGGAAGGCACAGTGTGTGTGTTAGGGACTGGCTGGAAGGTACAGTGTTGTGCGTGTGTGTTAGGGACTGGCCGGAAGGTACAGTGTGTGTGTTTGTGTGTCAGGGACTGGCCGGAAGGTACAGTGTGTGTTTGTGTGTTAGGGACTGGCTGGAAGGTGCAGGGTATGTGTCAGGGACTGGCTGGAAGGTGCAGTGTGTGTGTCAGGGATTGGCTGGAATGTGCAATGTTGTGTGTGTGTGTGTGTGTTGGGGACTAGCTGGAAGGTACAGTGTGTGTGTTAGGGACTGGCTGGAAGGCACGGTGTGTGTGTCTGTGTGTTAGGGACTGGCTGGAAGGCACAGTGTGTGTGTCAGTGTGTTAGGGACTGGCTGGAAGGCACAGTGTGTGTGTCAGTGTGTTAGGGACTGGCTGGAAGGCACAGTGTGTGTGTCAGTGTGTTAAGGACTGGCTGGAAGATCCTGCAAAGTATATTAGGTACTGCATGCACAGGGCTCTGTCCAAGCTCTCAAGGGAGCATCAGGGCCGCTTTGGGACACTCAGGAGTCTCGAGGGGACCCGGAGAAAGGCGGCAGCAGGGTGACGGTTCGGCTGTGGCCCCTCCACAGTGAGTCACCGTCCCAGGGCGCCCGGCCCCTGCAGGTGAGGCTGAGACGGCCAGATGCCCTGGGGAACCTTCAGGCTTCGCTCCTCTTACCTCCCACAGGTGGATGCTTTCTGCAATTCCTGCCAGGACGTAGAGGCCGTTGGGTGACGTGGTCAGACAGGTGACGGGCCCGGGGCACATGATCTTCTGCTGGAGCTGGTCCTAAGGAGGCACCGTCAGCCCTGTAAGCTTCGTGCAGCACATGGGAGTCCCCACAGCAGGGGAGAGCGAGGGGAGGGGACGCCTGGTCAGCGAGTAAGTCAGAGCACCAGGAAGAGGAGTTAGGAGCAGGGCGGTCTTAGCAAATGCATGGTCCAGAGAGGAAGAATTTGCCCCTGCAAGAGGCTGTGAGGCTGGACGTGGAGGATGTGAGGAGGCTGGTACTTCCTCTCAGGGCCAGAGGGGCCCTGGGTGGGAGGAGCACAGGAGCAGAATAAGAGGACCCAGAAGGACACTGGGGTCCAACAGCCCAGTAGGCTTGTGTCCCAGGCCTACCCATAACGGGCAACCTAAGACCGCAAGCCTCAGCTTCCTCCTCCCTAAAATGGGAAAAATCGGCCAGGCGTGGTGGCTCACGCCTGTAATACCAGCACTTTGGGAGGCTGATGGGGGCGTATCACTTGAGGTCAGGAGCTTGAGACCAGCCTGGCCAACACAGCGAAACGCGTCTCTACAAAAAATACAAAAATCAGCCGGGTGTGGTGGCATGGGCCTGCAGTCCCACCTACTCGGGAAGCTGCGGCTCCAGAATCGTTTCAACCCTGGAGGCGAGACCGCACCACTGCACTCCAGCCTGGGCGACAGAGTGAGACCCTGTCTCAAAAATAAAATAAAATAAAATAAAATAAAATAAAATGGGAAAATTTCATGAGTTAGACTCCATCGAGCCATGCCAGAGCACAGAGCCAGGCCCAAGAGCTCTCGGCTGGCGGACAGGGAAAGCGAGTAACTTCGGGGGTTGGGCTGCATTTTGGGCTCTGGGTTAGAGGGGAAACGGTGGGCAATGTTCAGCATCTGTTTCTTTTTTTTTGAGACGGATTTTCACTCTTGTTACCCAGGCTGGAGTGCAATGGCGCGATCTCGGCTCGCCACAACCTCCGCCTCCTGGGTTCAGGCAATTCTCCTGCCAGGCATGCGCCACCATGCCCAGCTAATTTTTTGTATTTTTTTTAGTAGAGACGGGGTTTCACCGTGTTGACCAGGATGGTCTTGATCTCTTGACCTCGTGATCCACCCGCCTCAGCCTCCCACAGTGCTGGGATTACAGGCTTGAGCCACCGCGCCCGGCCATCTGTTTCTTTATAGGAGATAAAAATGCATGAGGCTCCTGCGCCACCCCTTCATGGGAGACTCCACCAGACCTTGGTCCTCCTCCGTCTTCCTTTAGAACCGCAACACAGGCCGGGCGCGGTGGCTCACGCCTGTCATCCCAGCACTTTGGGAGGCCGAGGCGGGTGGATCACGAGGTCAAGAGATCGAGACCATCCTGGTCAACATGGTGAAACCCCGTCTCTACTACAAATA